CATCGAGGCGCAGGCCGTTGGTCAGCACGATGGTGAGGAAGGACTTCATGAAACTTGTGCCGGTGGCGAGGAATCACCCTTTGGCAATGAGGAACTATGTGATGATGATGTAGCAGAGATTGCTGCTAGCCCTGTCCCTATAGTTTTGTATCTGGATGAGATGGTGCATGATGCCTTTGGCTTTGATGAGTACACTGGTTCGGAGTTCAAGAAGCTGAAACAGCTGTTGGAAGATATGAAGACACAACCCTATCTGAGTTGCAATGAGAGGTATATGAAGTTGTCCGCTTCACTAAAGCTTCTCCAACTGAAGGCGGCACATCAACTGGACTAACACGGGGTTCAGAGAATTGCTAGAAGTGTTCGGAGATATGCTTCCTGAGGGGAATCTGATAACCAGGACTACATATGAGGCCAAGAAGATTGTTTGTCCGATGGGATTGAAGTTTGAGAAAATTCATGCTTGCAAGAATGACTGCATCCTGTTCTGTGGTGACAATGCAACCCTCACTGAATGCCCCAAGTGTGGGACCTCTCGTTACAAGCGAAGAACTGATGAGGGTGATGACAACGAGGAGACGCGCCATAGAGTTCCTAGGAAGGTTGGTTGGTACTTTCCTATAATTCCTCACCTGAAACGTTTGTTTGCAACCTCCAAGGATGCACGATAGCTGAGCTGACACTCAGATGGGTGGATGGTTGATGACTATATACGGCACCCAGTAGATGCTATTCAGTGGTGGGTCATTGATTTCAAGAATAAAAGTTTTGCTGATGAGCCAAGGAATCTTCGGTTTGCACTCAGCACGGATGGCATGAACCCATTTGGTAACATGAGTAGCTCACATAGTGTCTGGCCCATGCTGTTAACTATCTACAATCTTCCCCCATGGCTGTGTAACAAGAGGAGGTATATGATGATGTCAGTTCTGATATCTGGTCCATGTCAACCTTGTGTTAACATCGATGTGTATCTGAGGCCGCTTATTGATGATTTCAAGGAACTCTAGAAAGAAGATGGTATCAGGGTGTATGATGGGTTCAGGAAAGAACATTTCAACCTACGTGCCATGCTCTTCACCACTATCACTGATATTCCAGGACATCATAGCGTTTCTAGGTAGAGCGAAGGAGAAAAATACTACTTTCAGTGCTTAGATGACATGGAGACTGTTTGGCTGAATAACTTAAAGAAGAGGGTCTATGTAAGGCACCGACGTTTCCTTCCTAAGTCTCATCCATACCGGGTGATGAAACGACAGTTTGTTGGCATAAGGGAGACATGATCTACACCAAGGCATTTCAGCGGGCAATAGGTCTATGACTAGGTGGTAGTGGATACAACGCCTAAAGTTGACCCGGGGAGCACTGTCCTTGGAAAGCGAAAGCGCAGTGCAAAAGCAAAGAGTGCCGTTAAGAAGAGGTGGAAGAAAATGTCAACCCTGTGGGAACTTCCTTACTAGAAAGACATAATGGTCTGCCATAGCATTGATCTCATGCACGTGAAAAAGAATGTCTGTGGGAGTTTGCCTGGGACACTCATGAATGACAAATGAAGAACCAAGGACCATGCAAAAGCAAGAGCTGACCTAGAGGAATTGGACATAAGGCCTGAGCTCCGTCATGATGGTACCAGTGCCCAGCCACCTCTATCTGCCATAAACCTAACCTAAGAAGAGAAGCAGGAATTGTGCGACTTCTTTCGTAGTGTCAAACTTCCCTCTGGATACACAACCAACATCCAAAAACTTGTGCCTGCAAGAGAAAACAAGATGCTTCCCATGAAGGCTCATGATTGCGATGTCATGCTCACAACGATGCTTGCAGTTGGTATCCATAACATATTGCCAAAAAAATCCTGAATGTTAATCATGAGCCTCTGCTTCTTCTTTAATGCAATCTCTCAGAAGGTCAATGATGAACAATCATTGGATGATCTTGAGAAGAACATGCGTGAGGTGATGTGTCTCCTTGAGGCTTACTTCCCACTAACTTTCATTGACATATCCATCCATCTCATTGTACATTGGGTTAAGGAGATCAAGCATCTTGGGCCGATGTTCCTCCACCACATGTATCCGTATGAGGGATTTATGAGTACTCTGAATAGGTATTCCAAGAGTCGGGTCCATCCTAAGGGAAGCATGGCACAGTGCTATTCTACTGAGGAGGTGGTTGACTGGTGCCTCGGTTACATGGACCCCACTAATCCAATCGGCCTCTCCAAGTCTCACCATGACGGAAGGTGTCGCGGGGTCAAAACCGTGGCAAGCATAGTTGTTCGAGTCGGTGTTAGAGTGTGGGTCTTCGGTGGCTCGGGTGGACTCAAGAATACAAGAATCACATAGAGAAGATGCTGTCGATGTTTTACCACCGATAGCCTGCCACAGGGGTACCCGGGACAGTTGTTCGGGCTTCGGCGAATAGCGGAATTCGGCGGTTGCGCAAAGACTCACGATTTATACTAGTTCAGGCCCTCAACTTGGTCGAGTAATGACCTTACGTCCAGTTTTGGCGTTAGCCTATTTGCGTTGTATTGCTTTGAGTATCGGGTATGCGTTCTCTCTTTTACAATGGGTACCCTCACCAGCCCTTTATAGTCCAGGCGCTGAGAGGCGTTGTTTGTGTCCTATTCGGATACAAGGTCAGAGTCCTAAGCTACGCTTCGGGCGCCTTGCCTTGTATAGTTTGCGTTGGAGTTTTGGTTTTGCACGTTGCTTTGCTCCACGTTCTTCTTGGCGATTGGGCTATAGGCCTTGCTACCAAGGCCTACCTCCCTGTAGTATGGTCTATGGGGGGCCCGTAGGGTTCCCCATCGACAAGCCCCCGAGCATTTCATGATTGAGCTTCAAGGGCCGAGTTGTTGCAGTCTTGATTCGGGTCCTTCTTGAAGTGAAATCTTGAGATGGTCTTCTTTGATTCTTCTTTTGGCTGATGTGCACTTTTGCTTGACGTCCTCAGGGTTCTTTTCCCTTTGAGTGCAGCGGCACTCATTGAGTGTAGCCCCCGAGCCTTCTGTTTTTTGGTACAAAAAGCTAGAGGGTCAAAAAATTTGAAAATATGTTTTTCTGTGGTAGGTACTTGCAGCCCCCGAGCCTTCTCCGGGTTCTTTTCTGTTGAAAAGAAGCCAGAAGAAGGGTCTTGATTTGTACTCCTTTGATCTTTGTCTTTTGCTGGTCACGGATGGGTCTTGTATAGCCATGAGTGAGCGTCTTCTTTTACTTTTTGTCAGGAATCTTGCTTTTGGGTACTATTCGCCTTTGTTGCTTTGCTCTTTTGTTCTTTTCCTCTTTCTTTCTTGTGATCTTTAGCCTTGTTTACCTCTGGTTTGCTATAAATACCTTCTTTGTTGGTTGTGGTTCTTCCTTGAGTAGTAAATTTCTTCTTCAATTCTTTCTTCATTCGTAGATATGCTGGTGTGTGAGGTTGAGCAGCCCCCGGGCTTATGCTTGCTTGGTAATGAACATGCTGCTCTATCTGTTCTTCTGCATCCGGGCTGCCACTGTTGCCGCCACTAGGTTCCTTGTTGCAATATTTAAGAATATTGTCTCTGTCTTATGTCTGAGTTTATCCGGTCCTGTTGGGCCGTCTGTAACCTTTGTATTTGTCTTCGATCAATGAGATGTATAATTTTTCTCTGTCCGAGTTCTTTTTCAACTATAATCCTTTGACACTGTAATTTGGTATGTGATCCTTCATACGTCTCCGAGTTGTTTGTTCGGTTACTTATTGCTGTTGTCATTCTGGTTGTTGGAGAATTCAATGCATGTCTTCACGGATTGTATTGTTGCTTGTGGAATATTCTCTTGGATATGCTTGTCCTTGAGTGTCGTTCTTTCACGCCAGAGTCCTCTTTCATTGAATTCTGTCTTTTCATTGTGTCCTTTGTAAGATTTCTTCTGTTGGTGCTCCTAGTCCATGTGCACCGCTTATTTTGCCTATAAATGCCCTTCTGGAGTACTGTTTTGATTCATCGAGCCTTTTGTTGCTTGTTCTGAAGTCTCTGTAGTTATGAATATGATAGTGTGTGAAGTAGAGTAGCCCCCGGGCGTATTTTGTAGTTCTTGTACATTTTGTTGTAGTTGGAGGAAGTCTTGTGATAGGGATTAGAGGTAGACTAATCCCGCAGCGGCATTGTACTTGGAAGTACATGGTGGTAGTTGGAGGAAGTCTTGTGATGTGGGCTTCGTTCCTTCATCCGGCAGTTCTGGGTTGATCCTCGTCGTCTGTCTTGAGACTGTCCAGTGCAGATCAACACCTGATCCTGCATCACGTCGGGCTTGGATAGGCAGATGCCTGCCAACTTTCCCTAGTCTATGTTGTCCTGCCGTGCTGCTAATTTCCGCCTTGGATGCACTACGTCCGTCCTTTGAAGAAAACAGTGTAGCTGAGCGCGGTTTGTTCTACCGACTAGCAAATTGGAGCACGTAGTCGTTCCAGAGCCTAGTTGTGTCCGGGCTCCTTTTTGCTACCTTGCCTGTCGTAGTGCCGAGTTCATTAGGTCTTGTAAGATGTGTAACTTCTACTTTTGAAGCCATTTGTAATGGAAAGAATCTTGTCTTCAGAGTTGTCATTCATTTTTCTGCTGTAATCCTGGTTATTCATGAGGCTCCCGAGTTCTTTCTTTAATAACCGGGTTCTTTTGTTCCTTGCGAGGTGGCCCTTTGTTTCTTCATGGTTGACGGGTTGTTCTTGTAGTAATCTGAAAATTCTACCGTGGTGCTGGATGGATAAGTCTGAAATCTGCCCGTTGGATCATACCATTGTGTAGATTTGTGCCTTCCATCATTTTAGCTGTGTCAATAAATGGATCGTCGTGTGGTTGACGGTAGAAGCCAAATCGCCATATTGGTTTTGATGAAGGAATTAACTCCGCCCTTAACTTTTTATGAAGAAAGTTTTAACTCCATCCTTATCTCGAGGAGGCTGTTGAATTGCCTGGGATGGCGATTTGGTCTCTATTTAACTGGCCACTCCGCAATTGTTTTGCCATAGCCACAATGACAAAGAAGAAGTTCATCCAAAGGCAGAGTGTCCGTAAGGTGTCGCGTTCTTCACTTGTTCGCTCTCCGAGGACGGCCGTGGCGGAGTCGTCGAGCGGAAGGTCTTCGTCGTCGCCTTCATTGCCAGCCCCTCCGGTGGTGGGGAAGGCTCCCCTTGTTGGGACATCAGCGCCGGTTGTCCCTCTGTAGAAGGAGGATCCCTCTACTGCTCCTGTGGTCACTCTTGTCCCCCTCTCTGCTGCTGACGCTACTTCGATGAGGGCGGATTTGATCGTCCTTAGTAGTGACAGTGAAGATGAGGTTGAGTGGGAGGCGCTCGCCGCCGAAGACGAAGTCGACTGGGGCGCCCTTGCTGTCGAAGATGACGATGATGTCGAATCTGTGGGTAGTGGTTCTCCGGCGAGGAACTGATGATGGCTGGATGCGTTGTCATTAGCCCTCGCTTTGATGTTGGCGTAAAGGATATCGAAGGGTAGATTGTCTGGTCGTAGATTTATCTTGGTGATTTGATGTATGTAGTAGTCGTGTTCTTCTATGATCATCATAAACTTTGTTTCCCCAATTTCTCTTTTCCTTTTCTTTTGATGTGGCTTCTTTTGTTTCTCTGTGTGGATGTCTCTGCTTTACTTATTTGTCAGACGAATTGTGTGAGTGATCTGGATTTCTTCCGAGCAGTTGCTTCGTGGTGCGTATCCGTAGCTTTGAGTAGACAAGTTGTTTCCATTTGTCATGAAATGACTCTTTGATAGGTGGAGTGCTTTGTCTGGCTTTCATTTGTGCCATGTAAACAACTCAGTATGTGTAGAACGTCGTCTTGAGAGACTATCTTCGAGTGCTTTGTCTGGCTCTCGTGCAAACAACTCGGTATAAATTGTTGTTTTGTTAGACTTCATGTTCTTGCTAGTACTGAAAAGACTTAGGATCGGCGATCTTGAGATTGACAAGCTTCTGAGTACTTCATGGTGGAGTTCTGGGAATTTCTTCTTGTTCCTTCAGGTCTTTGCCGAGCAGGGATTACTGGTGCTTTTTCCCCGGTTTTATGATTTTGTGAAGGGTGGCTTTTACCGGTGCATCAACAATGTGGTTTCGTATGTCTGGGTTGTTGCCCCTGATGCTCCTTTTGAGCGGATTACTAAAGCTTCTGTAATGGCTGAGTTTTCAAGACACTGGGAGGAGGCCAAAGTATAGCTTAGTGGTCTATCAGACCAAATTCTTGATCAAATGATTGTACTTCCTCCTTCTCTTCCGTCTTCTTGAACAGATGTGAAAAGTCAACTTTCTTTTGATGTCCTTGTAATATACTTTGTCTCTGAAAATATGGTTTGGCTTTTCCCTGCTTTTGAATTTGTCTTTGACTAAAATGAGCAGGCTTCGACCTGTCTTTCTTTTTCTTCTGAGATGTCTTTGAATAATATGGAAAAGTTTCTCCCTATCTTTCCTTGTGACTTTTTCGTGCTCTGCCACAACTTGTTTCTTCTTGGTGATCGCTCTTGGGGTAGGCGATCGAGTTGTTGGAGTGTTTGTGCCCCTCCTTGGGCGAAGTAGTCGATCGTACCACTCTTGGGGTAGGCGATCGAGCTGTTGGAGTGCTTGTGCCGCTTCTTGGGCGAAGTAGTCGATCGTACCACTTTTGGGGTAGGCGACCGAGTTGTTGAAGTGCTTGTGCTCTTCTCTGGTCGAAGTAGTCGATCGTACCGCTCTTGGGGTAGGCGACCGAGTTGTTGGAGTGGTTGTGTCCCCCTCTGGGTGAAGTAGTTGATCGTATTGTACCGCTTCTTGGGCGAAGTAGTTGATCGTACCACTCTTGAGGTAGGCGACCGAGCTGTTGGAGTGCTTGTGCCGCTTCTTGGGCGAAGTAGTCTATCATACCACTCTTGGGGTAGGCGACCGAGTTGTTGGAGTGCTTGTGCCGCTTCTTGGGCGAAGTAGTCGATCGTACCACTCTTGGGGTAGGCGACCGAGTTGTTGGAGTGCTTGTGCCGCTTCTTGGCCGAAGTAGTCAATCGTACCACTCTTGGGGTAGGTGACCGAGCTGTTGAAGTGCTTGTGCCGCTTCTTGGGCGAAGTATTCGATCGTACCACTCTTGGGGTAGGCGACCGGACCCGTATAGCACAACCATTTTCGGGTTGGCTGTTTGCAGGGTAAGTAAGCAATCGTACTAGCTCTTGGGGTAAGCGATTGCACCCGTATAGCAACAACCGTTTCTGGGTTGAGCTGTTTGCAGGGCTGCCCCTTTTTCCCCAACCTGATTACGGGTTGGTTCTGTCCGTTGGACAGGGCTGTCAGTCATACCATCTCTTTATGGTAGAGTGACAAATGCTAGCTTGGGTCTCCTTACCCAAGAAGCTATTTGGCCGTTGGCCGTCAGTCAGACCATTTCCTTATGGTTGAGTGACAAGATTGCCCGTGTAGCACAACCGTTTCCTGGTTGGCTGTTAATAGGGAAGCCCCTTTTTCCCCAACCTGATTACGGGTTGGGTTTGTCCGTTGGACAGGGCTCATATTTGAAGCTATTCTTCTTGAATAATCTCTGTTTTATTTCTCTTGAAACTTGAGTACAATCTGTGGTACTTAATTGTAGAATCTTTTGAGCTGGCTGATATGCCAAGTGTTCTTTACAGGTATTTCATCTTAAGTCATCAACTCATATGTGTCGGGTCCTGTTGCTGTCTTCATGATGAAGGGTCCTTCCCATGGACTGAGTAGTTTGTGTCGTCCATCTTTCTTCTAGATTAGTCGTAGTACTGAATCCTCTGGCTTTAGTGATCGGGGTTGAGTACTTTTGTCATAATGTCTTTGTAACCCTTGCTCATATCTTGCATTTTGTATGATTGCACTGTCTCTTATTTCTTCTATTGAATCAATTTCTAACCACCTTGTTTCTTCTGCTTCGGCGTCTTCATATTGTTCTATTCTTGGAGATAGCCATATTAAGTCGGCTGGTAGTACTGCCTCTGATCCGTAGACCAGAAAGAACGGTGAGTATCCAGTTGCTCTGCTGATCTGGGTTCTTAGACCCCATACTACTTTTGGTAATTCGTCGATCCATTTTCCACCATAATCTTTCAAATCTTCATATAATCTTGGTTTTAAACCTTGTAATATGAGTCCATTTGCTCTTTCGACTTGTCCATTGGCCTACGGGTGTGCTACTGATGCAAAGTCGATTTCTATCCCACAATCTTTTGCCCAGTATTGGAATTCTCTTGCTGTAAATGGTGAACCAAGATCTGTGATTATTCTGTTGGGCATGCCGAACCTATGCATGATGTCTTGTATGAATTCCACTGCCTTTTCTGCACTGTATTTGACCAAAGGTTTGTATTCAATCCACTTTGTAAATTTGTCGATTGCCACAAATATGTATTCGAAGCCTCCTTTTGCTTTTTTGAGTGGTCCGACTTGATCCAGCCCCCAGCATGAGAACGGCCAAGCCGGCGGTATGCATATTAAGTTGTGAGCCGGCACATGTGATTGCCTAGCAAACATTTGGCAATTCTTGCATGTTCTGACGAGCTCTTCTTCATCTTTGAGTGCTGTTGGCCAATAGAAACCGGTTCTGAATGCTTTGCCGACTAGTGTCCTAGAGGCTGCATGATTTCCACAGCATCTTGAGTGGATTTCGTCCAAGATTTCCTTTCCTTTATCTGTCGGAACACATTTAAGCAGTACTCCTGATGCTGCTGCTCTTTTGTATAGTTTATCCCCCACCAGAACGTAGTTTTTGCTTCTTCGTACAACCCGAGTTGCTTCTACTTTGTCTTTGGGTAGTTTCTTCTCTTTGATAAAATCAATGTATGTTTGTCTCCAATCACTTTGTATGACCATGATTTGTCTTGACTGGTCTGGTTCTTCTGCTTGATCTATTTCCATTGGATCTGTTGTCTCCTTCTCTTTTCCTGTGTTTCCGAGTTGTTTGATGGATGGGGCTGTGAGTTCTTCTACAAATATATCGGGTGGTACTTTTGCTCTATCTGACCCTAACTTGGCTAGCACATCTGCTGCAACGTTGGAATCTCTTAGTATATGATGGATTTCGAGCCCTTGGAAAATTTTCTCCAATTTTCTGACTTCTGCACAGTACGCATCCATATTATCTTTTGTACAATCCCAATCCTTGTTGACTTGATTGATTACTACAGCTGAATCACCATAGACAAGTAGTCTTTTGATCCCAAGTGAGCTTGCAACTCTTAGACCGTGTATTAATGCTTCGTATTCTGCCTCATTGTTAGTTGCCTACCAAAGTATTTGTAGTACATATTTTAACTATCTCCCTTCTGGTGATATGAATAGTACTCCTGCTCCAGCTCCTCCTAACTTTAGGGAACCGTCAAAATACATTTGCCAATGATCAAGTATTGGTTCGGGTTCTTTTTGACTGATTTCTGTCCATTCAGCAATGAAGTCGAATAATGCTTGAGATTTGATTGCTATTCTTGGTTTGAAGTCTAGGTTGAGAGCACCGAGTTCCACTGCCCATTTTGATATCCGACCTATTGCATCTTTGTTGCGTAGAATGTCTTGAAGTGGAAAATTGGTTACCACTGTAATCTTGTGTTCATAGAAATAATGTCTCAGCTTTCTTGATGATATCAACACTGCATAAAGTAGTTTTTGCACGTGTGGGTATCTCACTTTTGATTCTGTTAGTACTTCGCTTATGTAATAGACTGGTCTTTGCATTTTGTATGCGTGTCTAGGTTCTTCTCTCTCGACCACAATTGCTGTGTTGACAACGTTCTTGTTTGCTGTAATGTATAGCATCATGTCCTCTTTGTCTTTTGGTGGTGTCATTACTGGTGATCATGCCAAGTATTCTTTTAACTTTTGGAATGCTTTTTCTGCCTCTTCTGTCCATTCAAAATTTCCTGCCTTTTTCAATAATTTGAAGAAAGGTAGCCCTTTTTCTCCTAGTCGGGAGATGAATCTGTTGAGTGCTGCCATGCATCCTGTAAGCTTCTGTATGTCTTTAACTTTCTTTGGAGGTTTCATATCCATGATGGCTTTAACCTACTTTGTATTTGCTTCAATTCCTCGATTACTGACTAGAAACCCAAGTAGTTGTCCTGATGGTACCCCAAAAACACACTTTGTGGGGTTTAGCTTCCACTGCCATGCTTTTAGATTCTTGAAAGTCTCCTCGATGTCTTCTATCAATGATCCGGGTTCTTTTGTCTTGATTACTACATCATCAATGTATGCTTCTGCATTTCTTCTGACTTGACTGCCCAAGCAATTTTGAATTGCTCTTTGATATGTTGCCCCAGCATTTTTTAGCCCAAAAGTCATTGACTTATAGCAATATGCCCCAAAGGGTGTAATGAATGATGTCTTACTTTGGTCTTCTTCTCTTAAGGATATTTGATGATAGCCTAAATAGCAATCTAGAAAGGATAACAAAGCTGAT